CTCCAGACTAGCTTGTCAGCACTTGCCTCTCTGAAGGCAGAAACACTGTGGAGGCTCAGGCAACAACAGGATGGGCACAGGCAGAGCAGAGCCCCCGGCATCCCTGTGCATGGCTGTGGCTCTGGGTGCAGGGGACAGGCTGTGGGTGCACTGGCAGCCCACTCCCAAAGCTGGAGGTACTGCTGGTTCTGTCTAGAAAGGGTCAGCAAAGGGGTTTGGGGCGAGCTCTTGGGTTTGCCAGTTCCCCCCCCACTCCTGCAGGCTTGAACCCAGCCGGGGCTGTAGTTTCCTCTGGCAGAAGGTGAATGCCCAAGCAGCGTTTCAGGGCAAAGGGCAGAAGGAGAGCAAACAGGTACATATTGGCATTAGCAGGCAGGAGTCCCGGAAAAGGAAAGGAAAGCTTCACACCAGTCTGGAAAAGATGACAAAAAACAAGGAAAGATGATGCCTGAGCACCTAGTGTGGGTTTCCCCACGAGGAGAGAGCTGGCAAAGGGGATTTGGGGCCAGGGAAATGTATTGCTGTGATAGAAGTGCATGTCCTCTGACTGTACTCGAGCCCTGCAGCATCCCCAGGGCTTAGGGAAGGGCATCTCTCACTGGCATCCCCTGCAAGGCCCATTCCTTCCATCTGAGCCCAGAATGCCTGCGATGGGCATCCACCATGGCCAGGGTCTTACACCCCAGCCATTTTCTGCAGCTCTGTCTGCCAGCAGTGGGATGCAACAGCTGCACTGCCTGGCACTGCCCCAGGGCAAGGGGCCACCTCTGTGACATGGGGCCACACAGGGTGACAGTGCTTCCTTCCTCCCCACTCTGCCAGCTCCTCCCCAGGCTGACGGAGCTGAGCCCTGCCATCATTCTTCCCCTTTGGTTGGGGTTTAAAGAACCGGGGCAGCCGGTCTCAGAGGGCACAAATTGCTCACAGTGCTTCCTGTTCCTTCTCACAGCCAGGGAAGGGCAGAGCTCAGCTGCTGTCCTGGCACTGTGACCACAGCACAGGGGTCACTTGTGACCCTTGGGATACTCCAGAACTTGGACAGGGTGTCAGGTCACCAGATCCCCATTGCCCTGGGTATTTGCCTGCAGGATGGTCTCATTCTGCAGTCCCTCACTGTTTTAACATAGGACCAAAGTCTGATGTGGGAGGAAGTTTTACTGGTGCAAGTGAAAGCTCAGCTCTGCCAGCTCTGGTCCAGGGACCTGTGGTGGCCCTGGGGCTGGGCCTTGGCACTCACCAGCGAGGAGTGACATCTGCCTGAAGCCAGACCTCAGAAGGCAGCAGCACCCACAGCTGCCCAGGTGAATAAACTATGGTGGGCAAATGCCCTGGGGTGCAGCATTTGGGAGATGCTCCCCCTTGTCCTCAGCTGTCCTGCTGGTGTGGCCCCGGCCTGGCCGGTCCCACTGCTGGTTGAGCCAGCTGCTGGGCTCAGCCCTGCCCTGACCACATCAATGCCACGCAGGGCCACGCTTTGGGCAGGGAGCATGGCTGGAGAGCAGGGCCAGACCTGTCCTTGGCGTGGTCAGACCCACCTCCTGCCTGTGCCAGCACACACTCCCAAGCCACCTCGTGCCCAGATGGTGCCTCCCATGCAGGGCTCCGGATGCAGCCGGCAGAGTTTGGTCTCGTGCCGGGGCTTGGGGGGAAAATCAGTTGCATTGAGAGGTCTGGGAGCCATGGTAAGTGAGCCCTTTGATTCAGCATTTCCGTGTCCCTCTTTTTCATCCCAATCCCACCTTGATTCTCCATGTGGTTCCTCGTTTCCTCGAAAGGTGCAATTCCTCATCTTATCCTCAGTCATCCTAGCACCCCTCCTAGCACCCTCATCCCCCAGATTATTGCTGTCCCATGGTCCCAGGGGGTCGTGATGCTGCCCACACTGGCATGTGCTGGAAGAGGAACAGGCAGGTCCTGGTCTGGCAGCACCCCATGGACAGAGAACACCCCACTTACCCACCCGGCTCGGCTCTCACCCCAGCTGTGCCAATGCTATATCGCTCCCTCTCCTCTCCTCTTCCCTCCCATCAGCCACCAGGCTTCATCCAGACTGTTTAGCCCCTGCTGAGTATTGATCACTGATTTCTCTTCTCCTTTCCCATGGATCATTTCCAAAGGTAGAACAGGCATCTGCCTTAACGCCACAATATCTCTACTAATAGAAACATAGTTGTCAGGGCTTGCAGGCTTGCCTTATTAAACCATCCAGCTGATTGGGACGGGTGCTATTTTTATGCTATAAAATAATCAACTCTGTTTCAGTGCCAAAGTTGGGGTCGGGGGGCGGGTGCTGGCAGCACTGTGCTCATTGTGCCACCCAGCAACTGCTGTGCCAGGACAGAGCCACGGGTCTGTTCTCCTCTTCCCAGCAGGTGCTGGAGAGGCTCATGTGGTCCTTTTTGGAGGGTTCGTGGTGGGATTTGTCTTGGAGGATGCTTGAGCAGAAATACACTGGGAGCAGAGGAGATGGCTGGTCTGGAGAAGGACCCCGGCATCGCCCTCATCCTGGCAGGAGAGGTGCCCATGGAGCAGTCAGACCTCAGGGTGCAAAGGACCAGTGTTGGGACACACTGCAGCATCTCGCGGTTCCAATTGGCAGGACTTGCCTCCCCAGTCTCTGAGAATGGCAGAAAAATCACTGCAGGGCAGATGATCTCTCTGAAGGCATCCCCTGGCTGCCGCCGCCTCCACCCCGTGCGCGGGCACATCTGCGGTGTTATCAGTGCCACGCGCTCACAGGGCAGTGAGGACATGGCAGGGTGCAGCCACATGAGCATCACCCACCCCCTCATCCCAGTGGGACCCGGGGAGCCCACCCAGCCGCTGTTGGGATAGCTGGCACTTCCATACTGGTAGTATTGGGGTCAGCCCAGCCCCATCCTGCAGAGCCAGGGGGCTCAGGCCCTCAACCTCTTTAATCTTTTTCTAGTAGATTGCTAAAGGGGGGGGGTTGAAAACTAGATCTAAAAATAACTCCTAAAACTTCCTGTGCTGCTGGCAGGTGGCTGGGACAGGCTGCGGGGGCGGGAGGCAGCTGTGGGGCTCGGCAGTGGTGCTTCAGTGGTTACCCCAGGGGTAACCCCAGCAGAAGGGTCCTGGGAGGTCCCAGCCCCCTGTCACCCAGCCTGGCTGCCTGCTGGGCTGCCTCGCCTCTACTTGTTACTCGGTGGCCGGTTTCAGCCAAATTTGGCAGAGATCAGAGGTGCTGGGACCTCCTGGGAGAATGCCAGGGAGGGGGTGGGGAAGCTGCAGGCTGGGCTGAGCCCTTATTAGACACTGGAGAATCCAGCGGCGCGCAGGCGGCTGGGGAGGCCAAGCTCTCCTCGCGCTGATCCAGCGTGGCCGGTCTCGCAGGTGATGGGTGTTTGCAGCTCCTCTGAGGCATGGAGAGGGGCTGGATCTGGCATTGCTTCCCACTGAGGCATCACTGGCCTGTGACAGGGACTTGGCCTGGGATGGTGTCTCTTCTGGCACCAGGGGTTTGTACATCACCCCCACCCAAATGATCCCTGTGGAGGTCTGTGATGAGCAGCAAAGCTGCCATCCCAGTTTTGACCCATAAAATATGAGGGGAAAGTCCCCTCCTGGGGTGGGGAATGGCCAGAGGCAGCCAAAGAACAAAAATACCCTTGGTACCAGTGAGCTGGGGGTGCCAGGGGCTTCCCCATGGGAGCGTGGCTGCATTCTGGCAGCCCCCAGCTTTCCGAGCTGGCCCTGCCTGGCAGCAGCAAACAGAATCCTGGAAAACCGTCTGGGAAATAAATGAGGTTCAGGTGCCCTGAGAAACAAAGCCCAGATGAGCCCCCGGAGCACCAGGTGGGCAGCAGCAAGGGTGAGAGGTGGTGGCAGAGGAAGGAGCTGCCAAAGCAGAGGGTGACTTTTTTTCCATCCCATCTGGATGGAAACATCCAGATGGGGACAACGGCAGCACAGCCACCTTGGGTTTTGGGTGCCAGTGCTCGCAGACCTAGGAAGAGAGGTAATAACAGCCCGAGTCCCGGGGAAGGTGAGGGAAGCAGCTGAGCCTAACAGAGCACTGGGAGAGCTGATAATGGGCACATGCCACAGCCCCAGGGGAGTATGTGGGAGGTGCCATCATACCCCTTCCTCTGGTGAGACCTCAGCGAGTGAGGGGCAGCCGCCAGCAGAGACCACAAGGCATGTTGGTCGATGGTGTGTGCTGGGGCTGGAGCCTCCTCTGCCCACAGCAATGCTGAGGGTGAATTTCATCAAGAAAACGGAGGTTGGGCATCTGATTTCTCTCCTGTTTCTTTTTTTTCCTGAAGAGGAAAAAAACCAAACAACTTTGTTTGTGAGTCACTCTTGGCGGAGGGCTGCACTCTGTGCGGCAGGCTGGCACATCCCACCTCACATGGACAATGCTGTGAGGAGGCACCCCCGGCCACTCTGACTCAGCCCACCCTCAGGCACAGGCCCTTTCCCTCACTGCCCACCTTGCTGCCCGTGTCTGTGCCCCATGGGCAGCGCCAGAGACACCAGGGACACAGGTGGGAAGTGCCATCACTTTGAAGTGGCCTCAGCTGGTCACCAAGAACCAGCCCATGTCCACCCTGGGGACATATCCTGCCTGTCACTCCTTGGCAGAGCTGCTTCCTTGGTCATGGGGTTGTTCCAGCACCAGCATGCCCAGGTTATCTCTGAGATGCCACTGTCAGTGCCAGTCCTGACTGGGGAGCTCTCATGCCCTTGTGCCTGTGGCAGCTGCCAGATCCATCCAAGGGCTGGGAAGCAGGAGGCTGACCTGGAAGCAAGAGGCTGAGCCGGCTCAGCCACTGGTGGGACCTGCTGTGCCCCACTCCTGCCCTGTCAGGGCAGCTGGCCCTGTGATGGAGCAGCAAGGAGAGCAGCCGGGCTGGGCTGGGGCTTTCCCAAAAAAGGCCTGAACTCTACAGTTGAGTTTGCCACTTCCCTTACCACTCCCTTTCCTGTGAGAGGATGTGTTCGGCCGCTTTTCTTTTCTCTTTCTCTCTTCTTTTCTCCCCCCCTCCCTGCCCGCAGACCCGGCGCTCCTGGCGATGCCACACACCCCCTGAGCTGGCCGGGGTCACCCCGGCTGGCACCCGCCACCACCACGTGATGGCCAGGCTGCAGGTACGGACACGGCACAGCAGGTCCCCCCACACTGCCTGCCCTCCCAGCACAGGGTTGGGGGGTGCACGGGGGTCAGTGCAGGCTGTGCTGGGGGTCCCTCTGCACCTGGGTGGGCACTGGTTTGTGCTTTGCACTGCAGAGGTGGGGGTGGCTGGAGGAGGATGAAACACTGCTGAAGGCTTCATCCCTGGCCGGGGTGCTTGGGGAATGTGGGGTGCATGAAGTATCATCCCCGAGGCCAGTATTTGCCATCACTTTGATGTGACCTGCCTGGGCACCACGATGCCATGGCTCCCACTGCAGCTGGCACAGGGTGATTTTGGCATCTGCTTTGCCTGGGGTGAGCAGGGCACAGGGCACTTTGTGTGTAAGTGCACGGGACAGAGGTGTCCCAGCACCTTGGCAAGGCCAGGTGGAAGGAGAGGTTTCCCTTTAATAGCGATTTTGGGGAGCGTTCATCTTGTCTGATTGTGTGGTGGGGTCCCATCTGCATTTGGCGAGAGGACGGTGTGGTGCCAGACTCATGGGCATGTCCCAGGCACATGAGCTGGCACAGCCCAGGGAAACCAGGACTCCCAGGCTCATGGGGGAGCTCAGCGAGGGCGGCTTTTGGGGCGTCCCTTCTTCTCCCTGTGGGGAAACAGTCCTCTTGTTGTCATCCTTCCTCTTTTTACAGCCTCGTGCGCATGCCCTCACCTTCCCTCCAGCATTCACAGGCTCCACCACCCGCCAGGACTTCCCTATCTGCTGGCCTCAGCAGCCCCACGGTGGTGCCTGGCACTGGGGCAGCTGGTAACAACCCCCTGGCATACGGCTCTTGCCAGCATGGTGAGGTGGGGTGTGTTGGGACTGTCAAGGGGGGCACAGACAGTGCTGGGAGACCATTCCTGCAAATCTGGAGCATAATGCAAGTGCCCTTCAGTGCCAGTCAGAATGTGCTGGCATTGCCCTTTGGCACCAATCCAGATGTGCTGGTGTTGCCTTTCGGTGCCAACAAGGATCACAACAACATTGCCTCTCGGTGCCATGGGCCAGAGTTCCTTTGAAGCCCCACAGCTCCCTTCTCCCTGTTCCCTGTGGCACAGCCCACGCAGTCGAGATGGCCCTGGGTGTGTGCCACGGCTCCAGGATGGACTTATCCTGCTCCTGGACGGGTGCTGAGTGCACCCTACAGCATGGGGAGGGGAGACTCCATATGGAGGAATGCCACCCCATCCTGCTACCTCTCCAGGGTGTGTTGGCTCAGCCCCCTGCAGGTCAGCTCCGGCCAAGGAGTGAAGCGAAGAACCTGGGAGTCCCCCCAGAGCAAAGCCACACGCTGTCCTCACATGCCTGTCCCTCAGTCACCCCCAGTCCACCCATTCCACACCCAAGGGCCGTGGCAGAGCCAGGGTGGGCTGGGAAGGAGCAGGGTTTCCCCAGCCTTCAGGGTTTCCTCCTGCTCTCCCCATTCCCACAGTCTCGACACCAGTTGCTGTCATTGGTGCCAGCTGTCATGGGGTGAGCAGTGGGATGTGGGTGAGCAGCAGGAAGAGGGGTGCCAGGAGTGCAAGATGGTTAGGCCGGGGGGAACAAGGGAAAGGGGAAAAGTGGGGAGTTAAATGGACCTGAGGGCAGCAGAGTGTGAGAGGGAGCAGAGCTGCTGCTGAACTGGGCAACAAGGTCACAGCCATCCTGCCCGCACTCAGGGCTATAAATAGGGACAGTTGGGAGTGAAACACAGACTCTCTCCTTTTTCGTTCCTGCAGGAGCACTGGGACAGCGGGAGGGTTTGTGAGGACCCGGGAGAGTGTTGCTGGATGATGGCCATGCTGGGACAGCGGGGGCTACACTGCCAGGGCTCAGTGGGGACAGCTCTGTTCTGGGTCCCATCTGGGACCCACACCCTGGCTCTGTTCCCTTGCTGAGTCCACAGCAGGACTCAGACCTGAGGTGATGAGACCTGGGGCAGCTCAAAGTGGGGATGCTGAGGCTGAGATGTCCGGGGGCTCTGCCTGCCTGCTGCCACTGCTCCCATTCCTTCCTTCTGACAGGGGAAGGACTGTGATTGCTGCCCATCACCCTTGGCAGGGCACAGGGAGGCAGAGCCAGCTGTGTCTGTGTCCTCACCCCTGCCCACACAGAGGTGGGTGCTGAGCCCAGCACTCAGCATTGCTCCTGCCCAGGAACATCCCTGCTCCAGGCTGAGCCAGTGGTGCAGGCAGGGGTCATAGGATAAGGTTTGGTTTAGCACTGGGAGCTGTGAAAACTCCCCCCCACCACCCCATTTCCTTCCACTCACATGATGCCGTGGAGCAGCTCCGACTTCCCCATCCCATGCCTGAAGGCTCCAGGGGGTCCAGCCACGCTTCCCTGCAGCACAGGGTATGGCCAGGGATGTGCAAGGCCAGCACTGAGCTGCACACCCTGCCCAGCCCCTCTCCTGCCTGCAGCAAGCCCCACAGCATCCCTAAAGCATGGCATGGGAGGGGATCCCAGGCAGGGCAGGGGTCTTGCAAAGCATCTCCTGATGTGTTTCCTCTTCTACTTTCCTTCTCACTTCCTTTTCTTGTGCTTTGTCTGCTGCCCTGCCCTAGCTCGCCACCTTCCCAGGGCTTTCCTTGGCACAGAGCAGCCCCCTGAGCACTCGAAGCTGGGGGGTTCCACTGAAGTAACGTGGTTCCTCTCCCCACAGGCTCCATCCAGGAGGCGGCAGGGACGTTAGCCGGGGGGTCTTGGCACGGCTCACCCACAGGCTGGGAGGAGCAGAGAGAGGCACAACAGCCCCTGGAGCACGACCCAACCCCGTCCACCGTGTATGAGGCTGGGACGCAGGTGAGGGGTGACTGACCCGGGGCCGGGGTGGCGACGGGAGCCAAAACTGAATCAAAGCAAGTCACTGCACAGGGGTGCCCCATGTACCTCTGTGTGCTTGCACGTGGTGGGGGCTGATTGTGGACAGCTCACTCACCTGCTCCCTGCCCTCCTGCCTTCCAGTACGCAGGACCCGCGTCCGCAGAGACACCCCTTCCGATGTCCCGACATGAGACTTCTCCGACAACGGTGCAACCCGCCAGCAACCACCGCCCCAATGCCTGCTGCTTCTGCTGGTGCTGCTGCTGCAGCTGCTCATGGTACGTCCCACCGCCCGCCCCAGCCCAGGCTCCTGCAGGGCCAGTGAGCATCACCCACCCGCCACATCATCCTTAATTCAAGGGTCCCATAGGCAGGGGTGATCACAGAACCACAGCAAGGCTTGGGTTGGAGGGGATCTTAAAGATCATCCAGTTCCAACCCTGTTCCATGAGCAGGGACACCTTCCACTAGACCAGGTTGCTCCAGTCCCTGTCCAACCTGGCCTTGAACATTTCCAAGGATGCAGGGGTTGCACCTGTGTTGCTGCTTCTCTGTGCTTTGTGCAGCAACAAGTGCTTGGACGTGGCTGCTGCCCAAGCAGGCAGCCAGGTCTGAGGGAGATGGGGTCCCACAGCAGCCCCCACCACTGGGATTTCTGCAGCCCTGTGGTGCAGCTGTAGCACCCACGCCACGGGCAGTGGGTGCAGGAGGGTAGCTGGGACAGAGCCATCCCCACTCACTGAGCTGAGCCTCCAGACCACTTGTGTGCCCATTAGGTTGGGAGTCGAGAGCAGAACAGGCATGTGGTTAGACAGGTATAAACTCCAGGTGCCCTGATGCAGATGGGCATCAGTGGAACCGTGGCGTGGGGCTCTCGCCGGCACAGAGCCCGGTGGGCCTGAGCTGAGCCTGAGTGCACCATGACTCCTGTCCATCAGCCAAATCTTTTAGAATACATAGAGCAGAAAGCAGCAGTGGGACCCCATGGTGCTGCACTGGTGGTCTCCAGGGAGGGATGGCCCTAGTCCATGTGAGCCCTCTGGGAAGCTCTGCCTTGGAGCAGCAGGTGCAGCGTCTGGCCCTGCCCTTCCAGCACTACCCAAAGCCAAGGATGTAACCAGCTGCTTGCCTCCAGCTGCATCTCCTGTCCTCACTGAGGATCCACAGCTCCTTTTTCTCTGGATAGCCCAGATTTTGGAGAGCCCATCTGCTCTTCATCCTCAGCATCTGCTTGCTTAGAGATTGCTGATGTTTCTGGGCTTTGCAGCACCTTTGGGCTTTATGGCCATTGAGAGCTGTGAGCAACAAACCCTGGAGCTGAGCACTGTGCATCTCCTTCCTGGACGCTGCCCTGGGCTCAGTGGCATTCGGCCATGGGCAGAGTGTCCCTTCCCTGTGTCTCTCCTCCATCTCTGCAAGAGCCCGTGAGCAGAGGTGGGACAGAATCCCAGGGAGGTGGCAGATATCCCTCCTGTATCCCATTTCCAGAGCAAGCGGTGCCGGGTGGCAGCCACGCTGGGGCTCAGGCACAGCAGGCAGGAGCCCTGGGGGTGGCACAGGCAGGGACATGCCTGCAGCTTCACCCACCCCAGCCGCCCACGCTGGGGCAGAGGTTTGCACAGTCAGTCCTGTGCGAGCAGCGAGGGACGGTGTCGCAAGCAGGAAGGGCTGTGGTCAGCGCCGGGCGCCAAAATTCAAGGGCCCAAGGGAAGTTGGCTGATGGCCGCTCTCTGCTTGTGCCACCAGCCCCCCATGGGGGACAGGGGACACTGGCATCCCCCAGCCCCAGCACCTCCATCCCACGATCTGCCTCCAGGCTGAACCGGTGCTGGGGTGTCACCAATAAACCCTTGTTTATTTATTGGTGTGACAGTTCACGACACCTTTGCCGTGGGCTGATCCAGCACTGACCTCTGCTGGCTGCTGCGGCCACTCCGGCTCGGCTTGGTCCTGGCACACATCCCTGGCACACAGCCCTGGCACATGGCCCGGGCGCTAGAGCGGGACCGCGGCAGTGCCGGAGCACAGGGACACCCTCTCATGGTGACAGCAAAACTGCACGAGGGAGCCAGGGTGGCACCGGGGCAGCGGGTGAGGGGAGGGGATGGGTGGGGGATGCTTGTGCCCACAGAGGACCCCACAGGGGTCAAGGTGGGGGTCTGTGAGTGTCCCCAATGCCCCTGACTACCTTTCTGTCTCCCTGTTAGGAACGAGGACCGGGAGCGAGCGTGGAGGGCATCCCGGGAGACCAAACTGGAGCCCATCCCTAACTGTGAAGCGTGGTGAGTGCAGGGGCAGTGCCGTGGGGGGGAGCAGCATGGCATGGTACAGCATGGCACCATCCCTTCTGCCACCCTCCGTGGCACCCAACCCTGGGGTATGCATGAGGAGGAGGGTCAGGGGTTCCTGATGATGTGTCCCCAGTTCCCACCAAGAAACGGGGAGCCCGAAGCCACAGGCTGCAGCCTGCTGCAGTTCTGCCCTTGGGCCCCTTGCAAAGGAAAACTGAGGCACAGGAAAACCTCAGCAGGTTTCAGGTCTCATCCTGCCCTTTAGACCTGCTGCCAAGAGCATCTTGCAGCCATGGGGAGAGGAGGGGACAGGCCATTCCTGGTGTGTTCAGCACTGAAGCGGAGGCAGCAGCAGTGTCTGTGTACTGTGGGACACAGTGGATTTACACTCAGGGAGGAGCAGGATGGGCCAGCCCCCCACTCCAGGAATGCTCAGCACTCCCTGAGGGACAAGTGTGCCTCCCTCTCACCCAGCCTAGCCATGGGTGCTCTGTGCACTGCCTGGCACAGCCATCTTAGAGTCAGACTTGGTAATTATCCATGGATAATGATTGCACCTGCCCTGCTTGAGCAGATGATGAGTATTTGCTGGGGAGCAGCCTCCCTCCTTCTTCAGCTGAGAGAGCTGATGGACCTATGTCAGTCCCTCTTGGCTCAGAGCTGCCGCTGCTAAGGAAGGGCTTTTGCTACCTTTGGGATTTGTGCAAAGCCAGCACCACAATATGTCTCAGTTTGGGAAATCCAGCCAAAGGCAAGGCTACAGTCCAGCCCAGCAGAGCAGAGCCGGGAGAGACCCCAGGAGAGACCTCTGAAAGCTCTGTAATACCAGAGCCTGAGCAGGAATGGCCTCTGCATGAGCACGGGGGACGTGTTTGGGCACAGTCCCTTGGGGATGGGGCCAGGGATGAGCAGGAGGGACACAGTGGGGAGCTTGCAGCCCTCCCTGGCCGGCTGTAACGCTGTGTCCTTGCCTTCCCCTGGATCTGTCAGTGCCAAACCCACGCCAGAGGAGGTGCAGGGCTGGGCACAGTCCTTCGACAAGCTGATGAAGAGCCCGGCGGGGCGCAACGTCTTCCGGGAGTTTTTGCGGACTGAGTACAGCGAGGAGAACATGCTCTTCTGGCTGGCCTGTGAGGAGCTCAAAACCGAGTGCAACAAGCACACCATCGACGAGAAGGCCAGGATGATCTACGAGGACTACATCTCCATCCTCTCTCCCAAGGAGGTATGAGGCAGAGCCCCTGAGGGGGTGGCTCGGGCTAAAATGAGGCTGGGGAGGATTCTTATGGAGAGGGCTCTGTCCCAGCTCTCACCACAGCCCTGTGACAGTTTGGGAGTGAGTTTGGCAGGGTAACCGCGATAGGGAGAGGAGCCCTGGCCCCGCAAAATCCTCAGGACGCAGCCGGCCGTGGGATCACGGGCCAGGTTGTGCTGCGGGTCCGAGACCTCACGAGGGCACCATCGGGCCGATGGAGATGCTGCATCCCAGCCTGCAGCATCGCCGGAGTGGGAGCACCCAGGGCAGGAGCACCCACACCCGCCTCCTTGTGCCCAGCTGGGGGACACGGCAGGAGACCCAGAGAGCTCCCCGCTACTCCCTGCAACCCTCCCTAAACCACCCCAATATCATCCAGGATGGAGCACACCGTGGTCTTCCCACGTCTGGCCACAGTGCTGTATTGATACTCAGTTTCCCACGAGAGCTGGTGCAGGGGTGGGTGCTGGGGCTGGGGGCTTGTCCTTGGGTTTCCTCCAGCCCCCAGTTTCTCTCCCTGCCGCCCAGGTGAGCCTGGACTCGCGGGTGCGGGAGGTCATCAACCGGAAGATGCAGGAGCCGTCCTCGCACACCTTCGACGACGCACAGCTCCAGATCTACACGCTGATGCACAGAGACTCCTACCCCCGCTTCCTGAACTCTGCCATATACAAATCGCTGCTCCAGAGCGTCTCCCACTCCTCCTCGGAGTCCTAAGGGCGCCCACCGGCCACGGGGACACTGGTGGGGACACAGTGGCTGGAGGGGCTTGGTGCCTCCTCACCTCCGCCACCTTCCCTGCTGGCCCCCACGAAGTTTTTAGCTTTTTACCTATGAACTGTCACCCTGGTGTCCGGGCCACGCTCCAGGACTGTCCCCGAGGCACAGCCCGGGCCAGCTCATACTACTGAACCCTTGCCCCGTCCCCGCCGCTGGCCGGAGCGAGCTGGGGGAGCTCACGGGAGAGCGCCCGGGACCCGGTTTCCCCCACACCCTGTTTTGAAGAGGTCACTTTATCCCATCTCCACCACACCCGGGGACACGGCACATCCCCATTTCCCACCTGAGACCCAGCTGGGGACTGAGTTGGGGGTTTTTTTGAGGTGGGGGGGAGGTCAATTGTTGTTTGGTTTGGTTTGGTTTTTTTTTACTTTTAATTTTAAATGCTCTTTTGGTTGGCTTTTACTGGGGGACTCGAGGGGCGGGAGGGGGGTTTGACAAGTGTCTCTGTACATATAAAAACTTGTCAGGTTTACATCACTCGGTCTGTTTTAAGTGGCCCAAGGGGTGGGGGGCAGTGCTGCAGCCTGTCTGTATTCCTTAGGAATATGGATGGAGCAGAGGGCTCTGAGGGGCCAGAAAAGACCGTGGGGATATGCTCAGCAGGTGGGCAGGGGGTATCCTACAGCTGCCTCCCCCACCAGTCCCTGTCACACATCAGCACTGCTCCAGCCCCAGGACATCACGTGCTGTCACCCCAAACCCAGAGCATCCTGCACCCTTGGTTCAGGGACCTCAGAAATGGGGAAAACACCTGTGCAGGTGTGGTTTGCCCTCCTGCAGAACCCACAGGCACCAGGAGCCCTGAATGGCTGGCCCACACCTGCCCCACCAGTGGGGAGAAGCCCAAGGATCTGCCCTGGTCCTTTGGAAGCTGCTTGTGACCTGGGCTCCACCCAGGATGGGAAATGTCACAGGGAAGATACAGAATATCCATGTGTTTTTGTACAGCACAAGGAATGGTTTACTGGAGCCCCAGCATACAGGCTTAAAACACGTCTGTCCCTGCCCTCCACACTGAAATGAAGCCAATGCAGGGGTTTTGATGCTGGTCTTTGCTTTTCCTGACCCACTGCAGCAGTTTCCTATTTTCCACCCATTCCCCTCCTTCTCTCTTTGGCCCTTCCACAGAAAAGAGTACTGGTTCTTTTTACTGAAGATATTCTTTAAACAAACAAATTCTTTTAGCTTATTTTTTTTTTGTGGGGTGGTTGTTTTGTTGAGGCTTTTTTTTTTTGTTTCCTTCCTTCCTCATGGCATGACTGTGTGGAAATTCATGTCAGTAAATTTAGGTTTTTTTGCCAAGCTGGAAATACAGTTCAAGAAAATGTATTTTTGAGAGAGACCAGCAATGGTTTGTTAGGAATGTCGGTATTGTTGTTATTATTGGCAGGTTTTCCCCCACCAGTGCCCAGTCTGCACCCCTACAGCATCCCCACCCTGCATAGGGGAGGCTTTAGTTCTGAGTGCCTGGTTTGTTCTATGAGTAAGGAAAATAGTCTCAAAATGTGGCCCCAGCTTAAGGGTCAAAGGCTGAACATCCCTGAAGCTGTTCAAGAGCATGGCAGGGAGGTCAGTCCCTCCACACACTGTGGTGGTCTTGGCCCAGGGAAGACCCTGCTGCCACCAGATAATCTAGTTTTTCTCTTGCTCCCAATCCCAGCACTATTAATCACCTTGTAAGCAAATCTTTACTTCTGAAACACCTCTTTATCCAGTGGCCTCACCCCCCTGGCCCTCCTCTGTGTTATCCCAGAAAATGACACTGTAAAATGACACAGGTACTTTTCCCTCACTCCTGCTTGGGACTCTCCATACCTAATTCAGGATTGTCAACCAGCTGTACCCAAACTCAACCCAGCTCCTCACAGGAACACGAGAAGAAAGGCAACAGCCACTGGTAAAGGGCTGGCTCCTGCTCCCAGCACACAAACCAGTCCGTGACCAGTGTGGGTTTAGGATCCTGAAGCTTTTTTTCAGCATCACTGTGAGGACACTGCTCCCCCCCAAGCCTGGCTTGAATAATCCCATTCACCACAAGACTCGTGAGGCTTAAAGGAGTTGTCAGCATCTTTGAATCTTTTTCCTTCTTGGGAGACTTGGCTGCACCCTGTAAAGTGAAAGCCCTGAGCGAAGGATGCTGGTGGGATCCCTGCCTCCGGAGCAGCACAGCCCTCAAAGGGGCTGTGAGCACGTTTTCCGCTGCTTTCATGTGGCTACTTACTCCTCTCCAAACATCTCTGAGGCCTCTGCTCAATGTCTGCTGTCTGGCATGCTGGGAAGCCAGTGGAAATACTTGTTTTCCATTCTGGAAGAGGGAAGCAGTGCCATGAGATGTGACTGCAAATGCTCCTGCCCTGCTGGCCAAGAGCTGCGGTGCCCAGCACTGCTCCCGAGCAGCTCAGACTCAGAGGCCTTGCTGGGGTCCCCCAAATGCTGCATCACCCCAGTTAAAGGCTATGAAAAGGAGAGAGGAAGGATTTTAAGTCTCTCTGAAAGCTCTTGTGAGCTCACATGGAATTTCCCACCAGGTTCTAGTTACCTCCCAGAAGGAGCCTGATTCCCTTCAGTAAATCCCCTTCACAGGGTTCACATCTGCAGATGTGGCACCTGGGGCTGGCTTTGCTACTGGATCCTTTACTTATCTCACCCCTTCCAAGCACCAGTTCTGAGTTCACTTCAAACCTCCTCTGTTTCTACAGACAAGTGCTAACAGCTAATCTCTACCTCCTCCAGATCCAAGCCTCTGGAAAATCTGTATTTGCAGTACTTTTACTCCTCCTGAGCCTCTCCAGCAAGCCCCTCTGAAAATCCAGGATGCCTTTCTGTCATCAAGCAAAGAGCAGAGCACAAATATGGGACTCCCTTTGATCACTCCCATGGCCCATGGATCCCCTCCACCTTCTTTACTAATGGCTTCTCCCTCCATCAAGATTAACTGTTCCCAGGATCCCAGCATGAGGGCTATGGGGAGCAGGCAGCCTTGGGACCAGCCTTCTGGGAGGCAGCAGGAACATCAACAGGCTGCTGGACGCTCCCTGTAACTGCCCTGGCCTTCCCTGCTCCAAGCCTGAGCTGAGGGAGCTCTTGGCTACAAGGGTCTCCTTCTACAGACAGATGGAATCCCAGCAACAGCTTCCTCCCTGTCCTGCTTCCATAAATCAACAGTTTGGGGTGGTTCTTTGGGGCTGGTGTCACCCTGCGTTCAGTCTCTTCAGGCAGCACATTCTCATCTTTGCCGCAGCCAATGCTGTTGGCCTTTAAAGGCTTGAGATGCCAAGGAATCAGTGCAAAATCAAGAGAATGCTGCCAAGATGGAAAGCAGCATCTGAGCTGTGTTCTGTCAACAGTACTGCCCACCCAGCCATGCCAGGGCTTGGCCCAGTGGTTGAGATTTGATGAGCTGACAGGAACAAGCCTTCATGCGCTGAGGATGTACCTACAAGTCACATCTCACTTTCTGGTGCTCCAGTCAGTCCTCATCCACCTGGACACGGACCATCTGTCAAGCTCCCATGCAGTTCCACACCACAAAAGCAAAGTGCTGCACACGTGGTTGAAATAAAAAGTCAGAAACTGACAAAAATGTTTAATATTAGTTTTGAAGAGGAAGTGACCGTACTCGCTTAGATGAGAAAATAACGACTGGGTGTGTTTAGTGAGCTCTCCTGCCAACCTGTCAGCCCAGGGCTGTGGCTCTCCATGAGGCCCCCAGGCCTCCCCGCTGCTGCTCTCTCAGCACGTGACAATGCAAACTCACTGGGACACAAAACACAATTGCCGTGGGAGCTGGCGCGTGGAGGCTGCGCGCGGGTCTGCGCTTGGCTGCCGCTCTCGGGCCATGGCACATGTCAGCAGAACTGCAAGAGAAGGGAGTTTAAACCCCGATTAGAAACCTCGCTGCCGAGGGGAGCTGTGGGTCGTGCTGCCTAAAAGAAGGTAAGGATCCAGGTGATGGGCTTGTCTCAGAAGCTGGCAAGGGCTCGGGGGTTCTCAGAAGCAGGGGCCAAAGGGAGCTCCCGTTTGAATCTCTCGGCTGTGGCTCTTTGGCACTTTGTAGTGGCACCATTTCTGCTCACCACTGACCAGGAGATTCCTGCTCACCCCTGAGCTCTGTGCACAGCATGGAACGGCAGTTTTGAAATCCTGAATGTCATCACCACCATCTCTCAGAGGGAGCGTGGAAAGCACTGTGAAGCTGATCATGGAAGAAGGGATGTGATGAGGGAGCAGGGAATGTGGAAGTGAGACTTGACCCCAGCTGGTCTGCAGAGGTGGGATGAGCCCAGGAGCTCTTGCCTCTGTGCTGGGAGGGAAGATCACTCGCTAGAGCCAGCGAGAGTTTGGCAAACACCCCTGAGCAGCAGCCAAGTGCCTGCAGCAGGGTGGATGCAGCCCCCCAACACCCCTCAGTGCCAGTAATAGCCTTGGTGCGCTACCTTCCAGCGATTCCCACACTCGTTGCACACGACGAAGGTGGTCATGGGCTCATCGGAGCTGCGGGTCTGCACCTGGGGAGGACAGGAGAGAGGTGAGAGCCCAGCATCACACAGGGCCCTGGAGGGCACAGGGAGCTCCCCCCCTCCCTCTGGCCTCCAGGGATTCCTGCTGGGGTCACAAATTCCATGAGAGACCAAGGCTTGGAAGGGCAAAAGGAACTTTCCTGTAAAACAAGTCTGGTTGTTGTGTTATACAGATACACCTGTACATACATCATGACCCCGCTCCAACCTGACACTACCTGAGTGATGTGTTTTGGGGCAGCAGATTTCCCTTTCACTCTCTCTGCTGCCCATTCCTCGTGGGTGGATCCGGAGATGGAGGTACCCACAGCCAATCCCTTCCCAAACTGTCCCCCAGGAAGGGACATGGCCAGCAGCGAGATGACAAAACCCTCAGCCCCAAGCATGTGCTCCACAGTCACACATAAAAAAGCACTCAAGCCATTCCCATTTTCAGACCAGTCCTACATCCTGGCCTCACAGGAACACACTCTGGGTTACCAGGTTCTGCACATTTCCAGTCTGGTTTGTATTTGAGCCACTAAGGAACTCCGATATTTAACCCAGATGTGATTGCTGCCTCTGACTGGCTCTTGCCAGAAACACATACTTTACTAAAAATCAGATTTTCATGGCATTTGAAAACCACAAGGCAGATCTACACTGAAAACACTGGCATTCCTGCACAAGTCAAGCAGCAGAACTGTGCCAAGGGGTAATTATGGTGATCTTTGTGTGTACTTACCCAATATGCAAGAGTCACAGTATTTGCATGATGCAAATTAAGCATTCTTGCAAGCATGCTGAAAAGCTAAATTCTGTAATTCCCCCTCAACATTACCACCTGCCTTCCAACGTGCTCATAAACACCAGTTCATCTACTTGGGACTTACAGCATCTCATCACCCACTGGTGATTTCACTGGAAAACCGATAAAAATAGAGAAACCCTCCAGATATTTCTATTTAGAAGATAACTGTTGTCTCCTGCCCCAATCCCAGGCAGCTGGACTCCAGTCCACTACAGGTGGAGACAGTCCTGTGTGCTGGCACAACCCAGAGTGCTTCCAGCTGACTTACTGGGAGCACTGGCAGAGTGAGGCCTCTTGCCTGAGACAGCCCATGGGATGCAAGGCTGCTGCTGAGCCAAGGGAAACTCCCAGGTCAGCTCCCTGGATCTCCTCTGTGTTTGCATGTCAAGTCCAAGCATATGTAGGAGTTTCACTCGGCACTTGCACACACAGTTCATGCACACCCACTCAGTAGCAATCTCGTGGCTGCTGGTGCATTTTTGGGTATCTGCACATTCTAAGCCACTGACTTGCAGCAAAGGCACATTTATCTCCTGATCCCTGGCACAAACGTGGGAACTAAGAAGCACTGGTAATGCACAAGGCTTCCAGCAGCTGGCTGTAGAGAAGAAACATCCTCTGCTTTATGTATTCCTTGTTTCACCTGTTTCATGCTGCTTGATTTTAATGAAGTTGGGATTTGTCCAGCAGCAGGTTGTCTACATTCTTAATTTGCACTTTCAATACCATCAACATGTCTGCCTTGGTTTCTGCAGTCTACACTCCCCATTCCTTTCTCGTCTGAATCCCAGCATTCCCAGCACCTGCTTTCTATATAGAGCACTGCTGTACTTTTGAAAAGCTTCCTTATGGCTGCACAACTCCTGCTCTTGTAA